TCAGTCCCCCAAAGACAAGTGTTATATGGACTCACTTATATGAAAAGGCAAGAATAGACAAATGTGTAGAGATCAAAATATGTTAGTGGTTACTAGGTTTAAATTCAGGAAAGTTTTTAAATCTCTCTGACTACCTTTGCCTCCCAGTTCTTTCCTCTATTTCTTTGTACTTTTTCCTCTTGTCGCACTATCATGTTCAGCCTTCATTTGGGTTTTAGGAATTCCTCTCAGGTACATTGCCCTTGATCCAGCCCTGCTGGACCTGTTACACCTTCCTTGCCACTGATTTTGGATCACTTGTTTCCTTGACCCTGGGTTTGTTAACACCCACTTCCTTTCCCCTGCCTCCCCTACTCCCGTGTTCCCCCCGAAGTGTTATCCTGTTGTTCTCTCTTCTGGCTTGTTTATCCTGCCTATCCCTTCTAGGTAGACATGTTATGTACCATCACAAGACTGAGTACAAAGAAGCAACAATAGAAAGTAAAACAATAGCTACAACAACAACACACATACACGAAAAAGGGTAGTCATAGAGATTTAAATACAGGCATATAAAGATGTAAATGTATTTATATATGACGAGGGGGAAGTAAATCTATGTACATATATTTATAGGTTGAGTATTAAGGAAACAGATGGACAGTGGGCCCCTGCTAAAGTACTCACTGAACACAAGAACACTTGTTCTAACATTTCGGCAGTCTGAGATGCTCACCTTCCTGGCACGATATTGCTGAAGACAATGGGTGCACAAGCAAATGTGGTGAAGAAAGCTGATGGTGCCCGGCTACCAAAAGATACAGCATTTGAAGTCTTAAAGACCAGAAGATAAACAAGCAGCCATCTAGCTGAGAAACAACAAAACCCACATGGAAGAAGCACACCAGTCTGTCCTCACTGGATCGCTGAGAACAAAGTGGGTGCATAAGCAAAAGTGGTGAAGAAAGCTGATGGTACCCAGCTATCAAGTGATATCGCATCTGGGGTCTTAAAGGCTTGAAGATAAACAGGCAGCCATCTAGCTAAGAAACAACTAAGCTCACATGGAAGAAGCACACCAGCCTACCACAACATGAACGCTGAAGGCAAAGCGGGTGCATAAGCAAATGCGGTGAAGAAAGCAGACAGTGCACGGCTGTCAAAAAATAGAGAATCTGGGGTCCTATAGGCTGGAAGATAAACAAGGCGCCATCTAACTGAGAAACAACAAAGCCCACATGGGAGAAGCACACCAGCCTGTGAGATCACAAGGTGTTGAAGGGATCAGGTATCAGGCATCAAAGACCAAAAAAATCATAGCATTGTGAATGAGGGGGAGTGCGGAGTGGGGACCCATGGCCCATCTGTGGGAAATTGGAAATCCCCTTGCAGAAGGGCTGCGGTGGGGAGATGAGCCAGTTGGGGTGCAGTGTGGCAATGATGAAATATACAATTTTCCTCTAGTTCTTGAATGCTTCCCCCCCTCCCCCCACTATCATGATCCCAATTCTACCTTACATATCCGGCTGGACCGGAGGATGTATACTGGCACAGATAGGAACTGAAAATACAGGGAATCCAGGACAGATGAACCCCTCAGGACCAGTGGTGAGAGTGGCGATATCGTAAGAGTGGAGGGAAGGTGAGGGAGAAAGGGGGAACCAATTACAAAGTCTACATATAACCTCCTCCTTGGGGGACGGACAGTGGAGAAGTGGGTCAGGGGAGATGTTGGATGGTGTAAGATATGAGAAAATAATAATTTATAAATTGTTTAGGGGGGAAGGGGAGCAGGAGGGGAGGGGGGAAAATGAGCTGATACCAAGGGCTCAAGTAGAAAGCAGGTGTTTTGAGAATGATAATGGCATATGTACAAAGGTGCTTGACACAATTGATGTATGTTTGAATTGTGATAAGAGTTGTATGAGCCCCTAATAAAATGATTTTTTTTAAAATCAGGAAAGTTGTACATCAGGGCTGTATCCTCTCGCCGTACTTAATTCAATCTCTATGCTGAGCAAATCAGAGAAGCTGGATTATATGAAAATGAATCTGGTATCAAGATTGGAGGAAGACTTATTAAAACCTGTGATATGTAAGAACACTTTGTTGTAATAACTCAGCATTCTGTGATGCTCACTTTCCCTGACATGATCACTGAAGACAAAAATGGGTACATTAGTAAATGTGGTGAAGAAAGCTGATGGTGTCTGGCTATCAAAAGATATAGCATCTGGGGTCTTAAAGGCTTGAAGATAAACAAATGGCTATCTAGCTAAGAAGCAACAAAGCCCATATGAAAGAAGCACACCAGCCTGTGTGATCATGAAACCAAAACAGAAAACCTGCAATATAGGGATGATGCAGCCTTGCTTGCTGAGAGTGAGGAAGCCTTGAAGCACTTGCTGTTGAAGATCCAGGGTTGCGCCCTTAAGTATGGTTTGCAACTCAATGTAAAGAAAAGCAAAATTCTCACAACTGAACCAGTAGGTGACATCATGACAAACAGGAAAGACGGAAGTTGCCAAGGGTTATCTCATCCTTGGATCCACAGTCGATGCTCCTGGAAGCAGCAGGCAACAGATCAAATGATGCATTGCACTGGGTAAATCTGCTGCACAAGACCTCTGTAGCATATTGAAGAACAATGATGTTACTTTGAGGATTAAAGTGTGCGTGATCCAAGCCAAGGTATTTTCGGTTGCCTCATATACTTGTGAAAGTTGGGCATTGAATATAGAAGACTGAAGAAAAATATTTGAACTATGTTGTTTGCGAAGAATATTGGAAGTACCATGAACGGCTAAAAGAACAAATATCTGTCTTGGAAGAAGTACAGCCAGAATGTTCTTTAGAGGCAAGGACGGTGAGGCTCCATCTCGTGTACTTAGGACGTGGTAAAATGGAGGGGCATCAGAAAAAGGCAGGCCCTCAAAGAGATGAATTGACCACAGTGGCTACAACAATGGGCTCAAACATGAGGACAGTTGTGAGGATGACGTAGAACTGACCTGACGGGGGCATGTCTCATGCTGCACACAGGGTCACTATGAGGTGGAGCTGACTTGACAACAATGGGCTCGAAGGAGAGAGGAAGAAGGGGTGTTGCTCAAGTAGGACTGATTTGGCTTATTAGAAAAAATTAAACTAGCTGCCATCTCACCAGTGCTGACTCAAAGTGACCCCCTGAGGGTTTCCAAGACTGTAACTGTTGGCAGGGGTAAGAAACCCAGTCTTTCTCCCATGGAGCTGCTGCTGGTTTTGAACTGCCCACCGTGGATCCCAGGCTAACATGTAAGATTACACTACCAAGTGATAGGAAAAATGCATTCATTAGTGTGAGTCTGCAGTGCCAATTACGATTGCCATAGTTAGGCTATGTGTTTCTGCGGCTGGGTCAGGGTTCTAAGCCTAACACAGATATGCTATTAGGAAGTTGTATACCGGTTAAGAGATAAATTGACAAAAGATCTATGATACATTTACAGCAACAACAAAAAAGAATTAACTACTGAAGCTGTTTAGGTATAAACAAACATATGATTTGATTTCTTTGGTTTGGAGGTTTAGGGTTAAAATGTCCTGCAACAAAACAGTTAATTGGCATATTAGCATATTAAGTGCTTCTGTACCTTGTGTAATCCTTGAGGTTTCAAAAGCTTGCAAGAGGCCATCCAAGACACAGCAATTAGTAATATTCACCTGGAGCAACAGAGGAAGAAGGAAAGTCAGAAGTAGGGAAAAATAGAATGTGTGGCCAATTAGAAATAACTACCTCCTTTGCCACGAGACCAGAAAGACTGAATGGCGCTCAGCTTCCATCACTGGACATATCCATCAAAGTTTCTGTAGAAGAATCCAGATCAAAAGAGGGTAAACTGGAGAGGGAGGTGGCGATGGCAGCAGCAGTGGCTGCGGCTTTCCAGTTTAGAGTGCAAAGAGGAGATGACTGACTGAATGAATGAATGAATGAATGAATTTTTTTAAAGGGTAAATTTTAGAACAGGATCTCAGATTCTCATGAACTCCCTGAAATAGGTACCTTGAAATAAATTTTAAACCCTAAACCCAGTCTCTGAAAATCTAAGATCAAATAATAATTTGGCTTAACTTGTAACTAAGGTCTACTTTGAGCACTGTGCTCTTTTTAATCTGCTTATATGGGATTTCAGTGTCAACAGCCATTCAAAACAGTAGTAGATATGAATCTTGGAGGGCAGGGTATTTATGTTACTGGGGAAGAAGAGTGTGGAGAAAGAAGGTAAGAATGGTTAGTTGCACAATTCAAAAAATGTAGTCATTGTCACTGAATTGTACTTGTAAAAAATGTCATTGGTTTTGTCCTGTTGTATATTTTAAATAACAAAAAATAACTTTAAAAAAGTATTGGCTGGTGCAGTGGTTATTCTTGTTTGGGCTCTCTCAGGAGGTGAAGTAATGTCATACAGAGGGCAGACAAGTGGTGTTTCAATGTGTGAATTATACAGATGAGTGATAAAGAATCAGGATGTACTCTGGTTCTGTTTGGTATAAACGCGGCCCTCCTTTGTTGAGATTAAGAGTCTGTTTGGAGTGGCTTTCCTCCAGGTGCATGACTAAGGCTTAGAACACTGGTGCCTGGACAACTTTCCTCTGTGTATGAGCTCATCATGCAGTGAAAGGTCAAGAAGAACAGCGGAAGATCCACTGTCTTACTGATCATTGTCATGAAGTATTTAGATGCTTTTTTACCTTTTAGAACATTTTTCAAAGGAAATATTTGCATATTTAAATCTCAGGAAGTTTGGAAATCCACAAGAGATTGATAGTGAGCTTAGATATTTGATCTTGTATTTGCATGTCCTTCTTAGCTTCTGAGTCCTGTCGCATAAACAATATTCCCTGTGTAGAGATGTCTGCAGGAGACTAGGGAGACCCAGGCTAGTGGATTATTCTTGCTGGGCACTGCTGACTGGACTATTGAGGGAAAGGCTGTGACTGGTATTATTTGATCATGTCTTCCTTTCCTCCTTCTACTCTAGCATTCAATCCGCGCACTAGCATTGAGAGTCTTAAGGGAAATCCTAAGAAACCAGCCAGCAAGATTCAAAAACTACGCCGAATTAACGGTCATGAAAACCCTGGAAGCTCATAAAGACTCGCATAAAGAGGTAAGGCTGGGCCGAGGCCCAGCGGTGCTGAATTGTCTGAGTCTTGTTTGGTTGTGAACAGGGAGCACTGGAAAATGGATAGCAGGCTTTTTAAAAGAGTACACATTGAAATGTCTTTTTGAGCTCAACCTGTTGCATGATACAGAAGGGAACTGTGTCTGCGGGATCTCCCTTATCTCCAGTGCCTGGGTTAAAAACAGGGATCTGGTCTGTCCGTGTCTCTGGCATTCAACCTGGGCAGTCCTGTATGGGAGACCTTCTTTGGGTTTTGGAATCACAGACATACAAATATACAACCAGAACTTCCTGGCTTGTGTATCCACGAACAAGTTATTTTTATTATTTTATCTTCTGAGCCTCATTGTCCTTGTGTGTCAAATTGAGGCAGACATTGTCATTAACTCTGTTATGAGAGAGAAATGAGATCGCACAGTGACAGTTCCTAACCAGTGATTGGCACAAAGTGGGTACTTAAGTGTATCTGTCTTCCTCCCTTGCCACAGTCAGTGTGTCCCTCTCAGCCAGGTCGTGGTCATTGGAGGTAGACATGGCACGCTTCCTCCTCTGGCTCCGGAACATAAACCAGCTGGCAAATGGTTCCTCTATTTCGTGGGCACTGTGGTCTCAACTGTCTCTTTATTGTCAAGCAGGAAAGGTATGTTTGTGAGCCCTATACACACCCTGAAGATATTGGACATTCAGTAAATACGCATCTGATTGCTTACTGAATACTTTCCAAACCCCTTGAAGCTCACCAGTCCTTCAAGTACCTAGAGGCCGTCAGAGAGTGGGGAGGTAGCTTCCTAAATAAAAATGATTTATTGACAACATGCTTCAGTAAAAAGTGCTTTGGAAAACAAAATCCTATGTTTAGAACTTTAGAAAATGGCATGACAAATAATGAGCTAGATTACAAAGTGAGCACCTAGCCCTTGTCAGCACACACATGGATTAAGGTATCGATTAGGATTAGGTTAATTCTAATATCCAAAAAAGAAATTGGTACCCTTCCCAAAATGTATGTGTGCGTGCGTGTGCATGCATGCATGTACACACCAAATGTCTAACCTGAAGTGATAGTATTTCTCCTTCACATTTATATGACTGCATAAGCAATGACGGTTTGACCTCCTTGAATGCTTATGAGGAGCGTAGGCTCCGCGAGGGTGAGGTCAGGTGCAGTGCCTGAGCATTTCTCCAGCCTCGTGCAACACTGGGCGCATAGGACATTGCTTTGTCTTCAGACCAGTACCTTGGGCTTTTGAAATCTGACTTGGTTGCATAATGATGATGGTGATCATATTTGAGCAGATCTTTCAATTTATAGTAACTCATTTAGGAACTTTGAGGTATTTTTGAATTAATTCAAAAATTAATTGTGTTAATTAATCTGTGTTATGAAGCACTGTAAGGATATTTTTGTTGTAAACTGTGGAAACAGATCACCAGGCCATTCCTCCACAGTGCTGCCAACGAGGCTCACACTGCCAGTCAGTAGATTAGTTAAATACAAACATTTGGACTATCCAGGGACCTGGCATTAATAGAGTGAACATCATTCTTCCCAGTTGAGGTAGAAGGTTCAGGAGGTACAGTTATTTGTTGGACAGTGTACAGCAATTTCTGACAGTTGAGATATGATCTAGGCCATTAATCTCTTTTCAAGGAAGGAAACTGACCCACACGGAATTTTTCTTCACGAAAATAGCTTCTCTCTAATGAGAACACACAACCCAAAGGTGACATACAGATAGTGTCCGTTGTTTGTAGGGTGGAGGGCACCCATAGAATGCAGCCTTTTGGAGAACTGAGCCACTTGCGTGATTCTGACCGTGACTTCTCAGTGGTAAGAGCGGGCCTCGTGTTTTGTGGCATAGTGGTATGCATTGGGCTGGCAACTGCCAAGTCTTCATTTCAAAACTACCAGCTGCTCTTGCGAGAAAGACAACGCTTTCTACTCCCTACTTTTTACTTTTCAAAAAGTTACAGTTTCAGAAACCCACAGGAGCAGTTCTATCTTTTCTTACAGGGTCACTCTGAGATGGAATTGACTCAGTGGCAGTGAGTGAGAAACCCAGGTCTTTAGTGCATTTAATTAAAATACTTCACTTTGGTGAACACCTGGTTTGCAGAAGGCTATGGATGATAGTGGATCCTAAAATCCATTTGCAGGCCCCACACATGTATACATTAATCTTCCAGTAAATCTGCTCTTACAGTGATAGGGGGATGTGAATAACCCTGTTATCAGACAGCACTGTAAAGTCAATTATGAAAGACTAGTTAGGTCAAAATGTAGTATCTTTTTAAAAAATCCTCTTATCAGGAGCTCATACAAGTCTTATCACAATCCATACATACATCAATTGTGTAAAGCACATTTGTACATTCATTGCCTTCATCATTCTCAAAACATTTGCTCTCCACTTAAGCCCCCGGCATCAGGTCCTCATTTTTTCCCTCCCTCATGAACCCTTGATAATTTATAAATTATTATTTTGTCATATCTTGCATTGTCCAAAGTCTCCCTTCACCCACTTTTCTTTTGTCCCCCCCCCAGGGAGGCGGTCACATGTAGATCCTTGTAATCGGTTCTCCCTTTCCAACCCACTCTCCTCCCAGTATCGCCACTCACACCACTGGTCCTGATGGGATCATCTGCCCTGGATTCCCTGTGTTTCCAGTTCCTATCTGTACCAGTGTACATCCTCTGGTCTAGCCAGA